GAACAATTAATACTTCGATGAAAAAATTTTCTGGAGAAATCTTTTTTAACTCATATCCTTTTTTAGCATTTTTTAATGTGTTAGCATTAACATAAATGCTACCATATATATATTTTAATAAATCTTAATCCCAACGCCATAATTAATGTATATGCTCTGAAATTTCCATTGGATTTAAGTAATGATTTTTCTTCTTATTCGATCCTTATTATTATTAGTCCTCTTAAGTATCCTTGCTTCCTTTTTCACTTTTTTCCATTAAAAAGAACTTACTCACACCTTCCTTCCTGACATTTGGTGAAACTTTATTGCAGTGGGGACATTTTTTATTAATGTCCTTGAAAAATTATTTTGTCAAGATTTTGAGTTCTTGTAAAATATGACTGGTTTAATGAATTCCATCAATATACTCTGATTGATGTTTTTTTACTTAAAGTATATCGAGGATTTCTTAGATTTATTATTTAACATCCTCAATGTCTAAGAATTCTTAAGGTGCTGTTTCTTAATCACATTGCATTTTATTATCACTTCCTTTTCTATGATCGCTTCCCTTTCTTGATGTATCAGTAGCAGTTATAGATTATTTCCTATTTTCAGCATTCTTAGTTTATTTGTTTAATCTCAATTTTGTCATGTATAGTTTTTGATACTTTTTCATTTCAATCAATCTCCCTAACCTTAGTAATTTAAAATTGTTTTTATAAAACTTCTTTCTATCTTTAGTTATTCTTAATTTATGACAATAATAGCATTTTGATCTCATTAGACTCATTAGTTAATTTACTAAATATGGATTGTAAACAGGAAGTAGCAATTCAATGTGACCTACATGTCCTGTGCAATCCATGTTCTCTTAACCACATGTGACGCATCTAGTGCCTCTTTCATGTGGTTAAACACCCAAAGCTGGATCATAAAGACCACCTCGAATGGGATGATTGAGTTTATCAAATGCTTTAGGATTTGATATTTCTTTAACACTCATTTCTCTTATTTCTTTTGCTGTATAATATCCAAAATGAACTGACTAAATTCTTTTTGTAATCACAGATTAATCAGTCAGCATTAATTAAATTTTATTATAAAACTTATATATGAAAATATACATATTTATCACACATAATATTTTAATGCTAGTTTAACATCTTTAATGCTAATTCTTATAATTAAACCTAAAATTTTTGAAAATTCACTATTTAAAATCATTAATTCATATATAATTTCTAATACATTCCGTTAGCAATATATTTACATTTAGTTTTAAAACAATTTAATATGAATTCTTTAATAATAAATTTTAGATATTTATCACCATATGGCTAACCAACTAGTGTTATCCAGGCAAGTTAGTGAATAACAAATTATGGATATATAAATTCAAGCTATAACTCAAATGTGTAATTTTCATAAAATGAGGCTAGGAACGATTATACATTCTATGCATTAAAAAAGTTCCTAATTTATAGAAGAAAGCATTAAATTAGTTGAGCAAGAAGTTTAAAATCATTCATATTGGTCATTAACTTCATAAACAATCAAGAAGGTTAATTAAAATATTGAAAACTTGGAAGCTCGATTAAAGAATGAAATAATCATAGAAAAAAATAATTTATCATACTAAATAAAACTGATTTCAGAATAAATACGAGAGTTCATCCAAAATATTATTTCAATAATAAATTAAGTTACTGTAAGCACTACATAGATAACTGAAAAGCTTTTTAAAATCCTTAAGGAAATTGAAGAACTTTTATTTAGAATGGAAATGGTAATAAATTCCAATAAAAACACGCTATCTCATTTTAATATGTCTCTTGCTATCTCAGTCATCCTTCTTGAAATTGGTTGCGAATAGTTACTAGGAAAAACAATAAGAAATATTTTTAAAGGAGCAACTGAAATTGCTTTGCCATTTATATTTGCGGCAAAGGCTAACAAAAAACTAAAAATGCAATTTAATGATTTAAAATGTTTATTTGAAAATTAAAAAAGATTAATTGATTAAAATGTTACCAAAAGTATCAGTGAAATGAACATTGCTATGGATGGAGTAATCAAAACCTTTTTAACAAATATAAAAAGGCCTAATTTAAATAACTAACGAGCCATAGCTTGGTTAGACAATAAAATAGAAAATCATGGAAATTTCTAATTGGCTTAAAGAATTAGAAATTGTTTTCCAAACATTTAATATTGTCACTTTACTAATGATCATCAAAGTCTTATCAATTTTTTAAATGAAAATTACATTACTTTTCTGATATTATAAGGATCACTGGCAAAGGAAACTCTGCATATGCTATTGACTTATCCTAATATTCATTCGATTCTTATTTATTGTTAGTTTCCTGAAAAATACGAAGACCTTATCTAAAAGTTTAAATAAATTGTATTTATCACAAATCAATAAGATGAAGTGATCGCAACATTGGAGAAGAACTTAGCGCCTTCTTTAGTTTTAAGAGAAATTAATTTATATTAGTTTCCGAATTATTTTTAATAGAATGCTGCGCTTTATTATCTTTCTGACGAATTTTCGTTGAGTAGTATTCCTTAACTATCCAAAGATGAAGCCCTTAAAATAATTTAAAACACAATGTAATACGTACCAAATTCAGTATATATATTATCTGAAGAGGCTTAAGCAGAATTAGCTCTTTAAATTCACGAGAAATTTAAAAATGGACATATTGAGGATATAATTAATCTCTATACAGGACCTAGTGGATTTTTTAAATTTATTAATAAACTTCTATAAAGTTTAAATGAAAAGGCAATTTTAGAAGCCTCAGTCTTTATATAATCATTAAAGTATAGTTTAGAAAAATACTAAGACAATATAGACTAAAATATATTTGTTTCTAATAATTTTTTCCTTTATAGAGGAGTAGATTGTACAATCGATTCCTTTAAACTAAAGCATAAATTATATGATTTAATGATGTTTCCTGCATTTACTTCCACCAGCAGAGATTTTGCAATTAGTAAATCTTATGCCAAGGATTCTGGAATTATATTTAGAATCTCCTTTAATGAAAATAATTTAGATGACTCTCATTTTTAGATGGTTAGACCTAAGGCAATTTACACGGTTTCCTAATTTTAGAATGAATAAGAATATTTATTTTCTTGTTTTTCATGCTTCATTATTACAAAATTTAATGAAGACAATCTAATAGATATAGAATTTGTTAAAATTTGATTGATTTAGCTTAATAATTAATTAATATGTTTTATTTATTATTATATAAAGCTTTTATAAATTTTATTCTTTATCATAGTTAACTTGCTTTTTGGCTGTTAACTTTACCTGCTGATTTCAGGAACACTATTTAATATGTAAAAGTAATAAAGAATTCTTCAAAATTTTTTCCAAGGACAGACTCAATTTTGAAAATATCGATCATCAATGTATATTCCATAAACCCCTATTGTTTTCTAATGTATTATTTAAGAAAACAAACTTAAAATAAATACATAACTTTCATAATATGTAATTATCAAACCATTGGTAAAAATATAAACTTTTTTGAAATACATTATTAACATTTTGATATGAGTTGCTAACATCAAAGAAAAGGACTTGATATTTAATTTTTAAAAACATAGAAATAACATTCAAGAAGAAATTAACTTAAGACTCCAAATTCAAACTCAGAATTCCAGCCTGGATGAAATTTAGAATTTATATAAATAATTTTTCATTTACAGAATAATAAAGATTGGAAAATTAAACTATTGAAATATGGATAAATGGCAATCAAAAGATCAAAAATTTATTTGTTCTCAAAACATATTGATCATAGGTTTCTCCTCTTTTCTTTTTCATGTGGGCCTCTGTAATAGGTACTGTCACAAATTCCATAGCGCAAAATAAGATTATGGGGCCAATCAAAGAACAAACACTAATTCCATCATATATTGCTGATAATCCAAAGCATGTCCAAGTGATCAGATCAAAAAATAAATTTGGATGTCTACTTTTTTTCCAAAATCCTGTCTCCATAATCTCTGTTTTCGGTATTAAATCTTGTTATTATAACTTTTTAAACTGTTCCAGTTGTATATCTGTTAATATTTTTATAATTACCTGCAATTGCTTCTAAACAAATACTAAAAGGTATAATTGATAATGCAATATAATTCATAATCTATAATCCCTAAAAGTTTTCTGACTTCCAAGTAAGATTGTTTTAAAATAAGAAATATAAAGGAATGCTGGTCACAAAAATGAATATACCTTGAAAAAGAAATTGAATCATAACCATCATATTTTTTTTTAATCTTTCGTTGTTAAATTCATTAAAAATATTCTCAAAGCGCTCATCTTTATATCCTCCTAAAACCCTATAAATGAAGACGAATCCAGCTAACCTCATAGACCATAGCACCAAAAGAATAGTAATAATCTGAAAATTGATAATGAACTTTACAATCTTTGAAGGAAGGGGTATATCTGAAAATATGCAATAAATTATTCCTGCAACCAAATGACTAGTTGGATAGGCTACATCAACTATGCATATTTGATCTCCTGCAATTTTGTAAATTATAAAAAACAAAATTTAGTCAAGAAGAATAGCAGGTAACGCCCAGTTTAATGCAACATCTACAAAGTCAATCATCATTCCTAAATAAATTATTAATCTTTGAATATATTTGAAACTGATTAATATAGGAATAATTTAAGAATTAATTAAATCTGAATAACACACCGGATAATTTGATTTTTAGATAATAATACAATTAACTCAAATATCATAATTACATTACTTCAATTTTCAACTTCAAGCAATATTTCAGGAATTTTCAATTATATTTAACAACCTTTTTAGTTTTTGTTACTAATTTTAAATTATTACATCATAAAAGCATTTACATTGTAACAATGATAAATTATATTTTAATATAATTTTTTACTTTACATTATAGTTTATCCCAAAGTAAAACAACTAGCTTAAAGTTGAAGTTGCAAGTTTCTGCTGAGTATACTAATAATATAATTCTGCTAGGCTCTCTGGCCATCCCTTTTAGTTACCCTTTTTAAGAATCCCTTATGAATTATTTCTTTGTAACCAATTTCGTTCTTTCCAACAAGCAGTTTATCTTCAATCAATTTATATTAATTTCTGTTTAATATACTGACTTGACTAAGACTATCAATCCTAAAATCTTTACATTTATAGGTAGGCAGCCTTTGAAGATATTTTAACCTTTAAAAAGAAGTTCAAATTCATCTTAGAGATTTTTCAAAATCATTTTGTTTCTGAAAAGAACCAATACTGAAAAAGAGATTATTTTTTTAGGCTTCATGAATAAAACTGAATTAACAAATTGATAAGATTAGTAAAGATTTTACGTACTTTGCTAGCAAATAATTTGATGTGTTCTTTTCAACTTAGATAAAAAATACATTTAACTCAAATAAAATTTTTTTATGATATCTATAGGAAGGATTCAATATCTTGAGATAATTAGAAAAATAATTTCTTAGACTGCATTGTTCCCTTTAAGAGAAAAGTGTAGTACTTATGTTAAATTAGCTATGATGAAGCGGTATAATAAATCATAGCAGACTATCATTTATAGTAGGCTTAAATTTAATTGATCCTTAATCAATTCTATAGATAGCCAATAATCATTTCAACAAGATTTATTTAATCATTATCAGAAAAAGGAAATTATATATCTAAATTTGAATGTATGCTTTCTAAAAAAATCAATCTGAACATTCCCTAATTGCGGTTCTGCTGTTTTAATTTTAAGCTGAGTTATTTCAGCATGCTGCAATATCATATATTTAATTTTATTCTAATTAGCTTTGTTAATTGAATAAAAATTGACATTATTCAAAAAATATGGCAAAGCTTGAATGATATTTAAATATAATTTTTAAACAAAATTCACTTATAATTTGCCTATTAATACGGTAAAGCAATACTTTCAGACGTGAATCATTACTACAAATCTTCAATGATTGATATGATTTAAAAAAGATCATATCCTTTATCTTTCAAGGAATTCAAGAAGAATATTGCTAATTCAATCAAATAATGAATCAAAGCCTGAAGGATAAATCTAATATCACAATTTGTATTTTCGAGCTTTAACAAATTTATATAAAAGTTTTTTTTGTAAAAAAAAACTCCTGTTCTCCTTCACGCTGAACTTCTCGAGCTTCTTGCAATACCTTGAATATATGTTGTAATTATATGGTTTCTTGTGCCTTATACTGAATAATATAAGTTGAGGTTGCTTGGCTATTGTGCCTCCGTTAATTATTGATAATTTTTAGAGTTTCTGCTTAAGTACCACGTTAACAATAGTAAATTCCACATCTGTCACAGTATTCTTTCGCAACAATTGTCACGTATAATTCTATCCTTCTTTTTACTTCATGTACTGAAATAGTAGTTTATAAGATGGCTTAATCGTTAAGCTATATTGGATTGGATGCAAACTCAATCATTAAATCAGGAATAGTTATATCATGCTAGTGTAAGTGAATGGCCAACAAATGTTGAAGTAAAACTGACCTAGAAGAAGTTGATAATTAAACTAGATGGTATTATTCATCAACTAGTGATCCTCCATAAAAGTGATGTACTGATATTGGCAATTACAGTTTTTCCTGAAACATCCCTGATTGTGTCATATTTTTGAGCATTAATTTGTTAAAAATTTGGATGTTTTCTGCCATATTACTATCTGTTTGATTAATTGTCTTGTTAATCATCTATAGTACAGCTATCACTATTTTATTTTGTAACATGCTGCTAACACTCAACAAAGGATCTTTTTGAATTACCCTTGAAAATTTTGAAGTCTAATAACTATTTAATGCCATCATAACTTATCAATTGGTTCTAACATTGTTTAAAAACATTGAACCTCACTCTGACAAGTAATTTAATATTAGCCATCCAAAAAAATTTAATCAGATGCAATATTATTTAAATTAAAACTTGCTAAATTAATTTAAGTCGAACTCCATATTAAGTTATAAATATTTGACTGCTCTAAATGCTGCTGGTTACATTTAGAATAAAAATTCTACTGTTTGTGTTTAAATTTTTGACTTCATCACTACATGTGATAATTGTGTTGCTCTACTGACTCTGGTAATAACAGTCATATATAATTTTAATGAGAAAGAGCAACAATAATGTTGCATTTAAAGCTAAATGAGATTAATCCTTGACCTCCTCTATTTATTGTCAGTATGTCGTTGAATAAAATTTTATAATTGAAATTGCAACTTTTTTAGTTCACTGTCAATCTCCTGTAATTTTTATCATATTATGTGTGATTGTTTTATTAATTGAATAGCCAACTGGCTGTTTTAAATCAAATAATTGCAAAACATTTTTTGGCAGCTATACACTTCTGTTAAATTCAAGGTTCAAATATATCTAGTCCTATAAGGTTATTTTTTCATGTCCTTAATTTAGCACGGTATCGATGCTTAGGCTATATTATAAATATACCAGATTCTGTCTTGTACTAAGCACAATACATGATATTGCATTAAATACTTTAGTTAAGGTGATTATTCATAATTTAAGAATAAAGTTGCTCATTAATATGATTTAACTAACTCGTACCCCTGAATATTTAGTATCCACTGCAATTTTAAGTCGTTTTTTATTTTTTCATATTATAGCTAATATGTCACATATGTTTTGGGTAGTTCTCAAATACAAAACGATCTAATATTTTGAAACTATGTAGTAATAGCATTGCTGTTTCTTTCTTATTACTATCTAACAATATAGAGCTTGGCTTTCGTTTACATTCAGCATAATCAGTTCATAAATTATAAGACAAGCAAAAAAGGTGCTTATGTTTGATATCCTTTTTTTCAATGCCTAATTGTTACATTGCATATTTTGACGAAAATTTTAACTCTCCTATCACCTTTTAAACCTAAAGTATGATTGAAACCATAATTGGAAATGCAACCATATACCCATCCATTACCTGATCATCCACCCCTCATGTTAGTTAAATGATGAAGAAAGGTGTAATTCCTCGAGTACCATTAACCACCCCCTTCTCGTTATAAATAATTTCCCAAAA